TCACTTTAAACATATTGTGCCACTGCCTTCTGGCTTGTAGAGTTTCTGCTGAGAAATCATCTGTTAACCTTCTGGGAGTTCCCTTGTATGTTATTTGTCGGTTTTCCCTTGTTGCTTTTAATAATTTTTCTGTGTCTTTAATTTTTGTCAATTTGATTGCTATGTGTCTCAGTGTGTTTCTCCTTGGGTTTATCCTGCCTAGGACTGTCTGTGCTTCCTGGACTTGGGTGGCAATTTCCTTTCCCTTGTTAGGGGAGTTTTTGACTATAATCTCTTCCAATGTTTTCTCAGGTCCTTTCTCTCTCTCTTCTCCTTCTGGTACCCCTATAATGCAAATGTTGGTGGGTTTAATGTTGTCCCAGAGGTTGAGATTGTCTTCATTTCTTTCCATTCTTTTTTCTTTATTCTGTTCCATGGCAGTGATTTCCACCATTCTGTCTTCCAGTTCACTTATCCATTCTTCTGCTTCAGTTATTCTGCTATTGATTCCTTGTAGTGTGTTTTTCATTTCAGTTATTGTTTTGTTCATCTCTGTTTGTTCGTTCTTTAATTCTTCTAGGTGTTTGCTCTTTAATTCTTCTATGTCTTTGTTAAACATTTCTTGCATCTTCTTGATCTTTACGTCCATTCTTTTTCCGAGGTCCTGGATCATCTTCACTATCATTATTCTGAATTATTTTTCTGGAAGTTTGCCTATCTCCACTTCATTTAGTTGTTTTTCTGGGGTTTTTATCTTGTTCCTTCATCTAGTACATAGTCTTATGCCTTTTCACTTTGTCTATCTTTCTGTGAATGTGATTTTCATTCCACAGCCTGCAGGATTGGAGTTCTTCTTGCTTCTGCTGTCTGCCCTCTGGTGGATGAGGCTATCTAAGAGGCTTGTGCAAGCTTCCTGATGGGAGGGACTAGTGGTGGGTAGAGCTGGGTGTTGCTCTGGTGGGCAGAGCTCAGTAAAACTTTAATCTGCTTCTCTGCTGATGGGTGGGGCTGAGTTCCCTCCCTGTTGGTTGTTTGGCCTGAGGCAACCCAGCCCTGGAGGCTCAGGCTCTTTGGTGGGGCTAATGGCATACTCTGGGAGGGCTCATGCCAAGGAGTACTTCCCAGAACTTCTGCTGCCAGTGTCCTTGTCCCCGTGGTGAGCCACAGCCACCCCCCCCCTCCTCTGCAGGAGACCCTCCAACAGTAGCAGATAGGTCTGCTTCAGTCTCCTATGGAGTTGCTGCTCCTTCCTCCTGGGTCTTGATGCACACACTACTTTGTGTGTGCCCTTTAACAATGGATTCTCTGTTTCCCCCAGTCCTGTCAAAGTCCTGCAATCAAATTCCGCTAGCCTTCAAAGTCTGATTCTCTGGGAATTCCTCCTCCTGTTGCCAGACCCCCAGGTTGGGAAGCCTGATGTGGGGCTCAGAACCTTCACTCCAGTGGGTAGACTTCTGTGGTATAATTGTTCGCCAGTTTGTGAGTCACCCACCCAGCAGTTATGGGATTTGATTTTATTGTGATTATGCCCCTCCTACCATCTCATTGCGCTTCTCTTTTGTCTTTGGATGCCCGGTATCTTTTTTGGTGAGTTCCAGTGTCTTCCTGTTGATGATTGTTCAGCAGTTAGTTGTGATTCCGGTGCTCTCGCAAGAGGGAGTGAGCACACGTCCTTCTCTTCCACCATCTTGAACCAATCTCTTTACTACCACTTTTTGCTTTGCTTCTCAGCTTCTCTCTTGGTGCCAACTACTAATCCACAAATGCCTTGAGGGGAAAAGAAGTGTAGAATATTGGAATCCCCTCACCTTGTGTTTCCCTGCCTTTCAAGATCTTGACTCTCAAGTCCTGACTGCCCTGATGGCTCTCTTGTTCTTTAAAACTGGTTTAAAAAAATTATCCACTTCTCAAGTTGTCCTTGGTGGAAGAGTTGGTCAAATCCAAGCTCATAGCCAGAAGCAGAAGTCCTTAAATATTTTTATTTTGCATGAATAATAAGTGATCTTTGTAGATCCAGGACATTAATTTTTTATTTAAAGTATTTTTCTATTTTGTTAAAGCTCATTTTTAATTTATAGAAATATTTCATATGTCTGTTGTCAAATTTATTAGTCTTTTCCCTTAAGACTTCCATTGATGCTAAGAAATAGTTCTTTCCTTACTTCTCCAGATATTTTTCTATTTTTTCCTTTGGTTTATTTTTACTTAAATTTAATTTTTCAATTGATATAAATTTAATTTTGTTGCATAGAATTTTGGGAAACTTATTTTAAAAATTATTTAACCACTATTTGTTTGGATGAAATATTTTTCCCTAGTGCTTTGAAATTTCATCTTTTTCATATAGTAAATTATTACCTATACTGTTGATTGAAATAAAAATGCAAAACATGAGAGCTGTGAGTTTCAGTTTTATTTGAGGACTTATTGAGGACTATAGCCGAGGAGACAGCCTCTCAGATAGCTCTGAGGAACTTCTCAGAAGGGGTGGAGTGGGAGGTTAGCATATATGTAGTTCTGGAGAAGGCATATGTGCAATAAAGCACACAGCTCAGTGGAAGATTGCTGCTAGTCATGAGGAAAACATTTCAGTTAATGATTTTAGTACTCTTCTATGAATGGGAAGATGCAAGAAAGTGAGTTCTTAAAATTTTCTCCTGAGAATATCTAACTATCTGAAGGCCTGTTCTGCCAGTTTTCCTGCAGCACCGACTGCCTCATTCCTGATCTCTGTCCTGAACTCCTTTCAGGATGTGTTGAAGACCAGCAACTGCAGTGGCTAATGACTCAGTTCTTGTAAAACTGGGTGGTGAGGGCTCGTCTTTAGTTGGCGATGCTGTGCTTTATTTCTGAATTCTCATTGATCAGACTATTATTACACTGGTAATCTGCTGTTTCAGTTATTAAACTTTAATAATTGATTTTACTACTTGGTTGTTCAGGGACTCTCTTATTATTCTTATTTTTCAATTTCATCTTGTCTGTTCATGTCAGGATTTCTTTGCCTACAGTGTCAGAAGTGATTATGAGCCGAACTAAAGTAGTAATAGTGGAGCTACAAAGCAAGAACAAAGTGAGTGTTATTGATTATTGCCACCTATAGTGCTTGAGGGGTTTGGAGGCTGGATATGGCATCTCCCCTGATGCAGCCTTCTGGCTTGAGAAAGTGAGAGAATTGTAGTGTCGTTAACTAAGAGTGAGAGAAAGAAAGAAGCAGAATGTAACAGAAAGGGAAGATCATTTGTTGAAAGAGCAAAAGCAGGAGTAGCAAAGACAATTGTAAAAGATTGGTAATATTTTGAAATAGCTTCTTTGACTAGTAAGATAGAAAGTTGATGTGGGAAAACATTAAAAAAATCAAGTGAAGTCCAGTTTGGTTTAGATATCAAATGAAATTTGCTGTGGTACCAGTTCTAACAGATGTACGATTTTTAAGGAGCAGTCCATAGCAGCTCTTTTCATATATTCAACCATGTGAGATACAGTTAGGCTGTGAACAATTTTTGTAGTCGACTGAAGAGCCTAAACTTGGGAGAAGGGCTGCAGAAGGCAGACTGATCAAGTTTAGGAGGTTTTTGAGCAAAAAAGTTGCAAATGAGGAAGTAGAAGCTACTGGTGAAAAAACTATTGATGTGGCCTTATAAATTTTAGTTTTGTAAGGAAAGAAATGAAGCCAGGCAGATTATTGCAAGTATCAAATATGATTTTAAGAGCTGAAAGAGTTTTATAAGCTCTATATCAAAATAAGGCAGTGCTGTTTATTTTCTTAGATATTTACGTGAAGGTGGAGCTGGGATGTGCCCTGACCCTCTCTATCTGGCTATGTATGCTCTTTGCAGCCTAAGGCTAAAACAGTTTCTAGACAGGGAGCCTGGAGTCCAATTTATAAGGAGAATATGCAGCTTCTTAGCTTCTTTCACTGTATTTATACCAACCAGTGTCCTTTTAGTCACCCTTAAGGAGACTTAAAAAATATCACCTTGAACTGTATAATCTAGCTCTAAAATAGTCTTATTTAAATACAAAGACTAGAGAGTGGAAGATTTTTAAGAGATTTGTTTTATGAGGCTTTTCTTTCTTCCTTTGACTTTGGTCATCCTCACCCCTCCCCACTGCAAATTTGGACCTCATGATCAGAATTGTAGAATTTTGGCCTTGGAAGAAATGATACAGTTTATTTGACTCTAACTTTTTCTCCATTAAATAAATGAGACAAGTGAGGGACAGAGAAGACAAGGCTGATGTCACCTGTAAGTCAAAAGCAGAGCTAAACCCAGGAAATTCAGGTTTCCTAATAACAGATTTAGATACTTTCACTATAGTGCGACGATTAGAAAATTAATATTAATTTACTGTATCACTTTGCATAGTGCACTCCTCCCCCACTCTCCTTTAATATTCAGTTTTAATGTGGAAGAATAAAAGTGGTTTCGATCCCCTCTCTTCAGAGAATCAGATTTCTGAAAAGAGCTGACACAAAGCACTTTCGTAACCAAATTTAATATAAAAGCCCTGAGTATGCAAATAAAGCACAGAGCCAAACTTTAGAAGTGAAGTAAAGAGATAAAGAATTAATACGGTGCCCTTTTTAAGATTAGACTTTAGTCCTGAATTCCTGTTCTTGCCTGGTTGACAAACCACAAGCAACTGTGACCTCAAACATCCTAGCCCCTGCTTGAGATGCACACCTGGACCAGCGACAGACAAAGAGAGCTACTTGTCAATTCTCGCTTTTTTGGCAGTGTCTGTTCAGATATGCTCACCACACCCCCATCCTGTTCTACTTCAATGTTAGAAGGAAATGAAGCCACAATGAGAACTAAAAAGAGCTGTAACACCTTTTGTCCCCTGCCTCCTCACTGCCCTCCCCACACAGAGCTACTCCACCTAAGTCGGGCTCCAGTGTGACATTCCTGCCTGAGAAAGGAGTGATGAAGTGAGACTACAGTTGCAGACAAGTGACACCCAGAAGCCAAAAGCTTCTGTAAGTACCAGGTCTGCACAAGACCCAAGCCAAAGCAATGGCATTGTCGCTGGAAGAATTCATCCACTCCCTTGACCTCAGGACCCTCCCCAGGGTCCTAGAAATCCAGTCAGGCTTCTATTTTGAAGGTAAGCACCTTCCCATCTCTGGCTAGAAAGTGCTCATAAGGTATATACTCTTGGGAATTTTAGTGGAAATTTTTAACAGAATATATTCTGTTAGAGGAATTCTGTTAGAGGAAAGGTGGTCATCAGAGAAAGTAATTAACTGAGGAATGGTCGAAACCCAATAGTATTGGAGAAGGGAGAAACGAGATAGGACTCTGTGGGGTGGGTAGGGACTAGGAATTGAGTGAAGCTTCTTGGCCTTCAAATAGTTCAACACGAATGATGAATTATTTCTGCCTTTTCTTTGAAATTGGTTGTAACTCGAGTGAAAAGTTAAGTTTTCCATATCTATGTTTCTAGAATATAAAATATAGTTTCTAAAAAAGCAACTATTAAAAGCACAGCATTTAGAAAGAAAAATTCACCAAACTCTTAACCACCTCTAAAAGTTGCTTGTATCAGCACTTCTCTCACTCTGCAGTGGCCTAACTTCCAATTTCTTAAATAATGGCATTCTTATTTGAAGGTATAGAAGTTAATGTTTACTAAGTATAAGATAATTTTTAAAGAATCTATGGCAGAGTTCTAAAGTCAGAGTTCAGCTAAGATTATTGAATAAGTTAGTGTGCTTTGGTGTAACTTACTGTATTAATTCAGTAAAAGAGCATTAAGACCTACAACACATACAACACATACCCTAGAATATTTAAGCAGTGATTTGAATACATGTAAGACAGAGTCATTTTCCGGGCAAATATGCATTTTCGGTTCCCAGAGTCGTAGAATTGAGGCAGTAGTAGAGTTAAATACAGAGAAACTACTGGGAAGATGAAGAAGTTTTGGTAGGCAAATCTTTCCCTTTTATAGACAAAATAATTTTTTAGGTATTATATTATGAAATAAAACAAAACTTAACAAATGTCAGACCCAGTTCATACACACACACACACACACACACACACACACACACACACACACACACACACA